ATAATTCCTTACATTTATACTGCGCTTTTCTGGACGTTCCACTCAAAGCGCTTTACAGGTAAGGGGGACTCCCCTCCACCACCACCTCCAATTAAAAGGATTGGGAAAGGCCAGCGGGAAATTTGGCCGGGACACTGGGGTAACACCCCTACGCAAACCAGATACAAACCTTTTTTTTTTTTCTCGTCTGCAACATCCTCTAAAATGTCAGAACACCCCCTCCCAAGTGCAGGCTGAGCTCGGGTTCAAGACTGGGTCATGTCACCAGCTGGCTGTAACAAGGGCTCTCCCAGTAGCCGAGCGCTGCTCCAGCTGTTAGTGTTGGGATCAGCCACTCGGATCTCTTGGTGATACCTGAGTCATTCTGACAGGTGGTGAGGAGCACTCCTCTCCTCCAGTCAGTGCCGATTGATGCGCCTGTGCTGCCTGAGACGTGTTCAAATACTAGTGGCTCAAAGATGGATGAGCTGGAAGAGTCTGTCGAAACTTCCTTGTTCCTCATTCTTCTTGTGAGGCATCAGAGAGCCAAGGTTTGAAAAACTCTTAGCTGGCTGTTCTGGACTCAGAGGGTGTAACCAAACGATGATGAGCAATTCTAATGTACAAAAAGAAAAGGGGTTGAGGATGACCTTTGACACCGGTGGCGCTGAGATAATGAAACACAAATCGGACAGAGCAGCAGAGAAAAGCAGATGACCCATCTAAAGATTTTGTTTGTGCTTTTTCAGAGATGGAAAAATCACAGCCATTCTGGACCAGAAGCACTACATTGAAGAGTTGAATCGGCACTTGAGGTAGGCCTCCCTGTGTCTCCACACTGTGCGCCGAGGGGCGGCGGTTCATCAGCTGAATCAAGGGGGAACTTGGGGGAGGTCTGATTGTGCAGAGGGGAGTTTGGCCTAGACACTGGGCCCTTCTCTAACGAGCAGTTTCTCTCCCAGGTCACACACACTCAAGCACACAGGGAAGGTTTAGAGATGCTGATTAAGGCACCCCACATCTCAGAGACTATAATATCCCCAAAATATTTTCTTATCCTAACGACTGCAGGCTTTCTCGGTGTTAATTTGTGTTCATGTTATTTCATATTTTGAAACTTCGCTCTGCTGCAGAGCATGGAAGCAGTGTGGTGCAGTCTTTTTTTGTGTATGAGAAATAACACCCTGAATGAAAACGAGACTTTGGAGTGGGTGGGCGTCAGTAATGCCTGGACCTCTCTGCAGCTGCACGGTGACGGACCTGCAAGCCAAGATGGACTCGCTGGAGAAGACCAACTCCAAGCTCATAGAGGAGGTGAGGGCAGCAAGTGTTCAAGTGCCCACTCCTGCACGGACTGGTGCAGGTAGTAGTAGTGAAAGGAAAAAGTGTGGGGGG